TAGTCTAGTCTATAGTCTAGTCTATAGTCTAGTCTATAGTCTAGTCTATAGTCTAGTCTATAGTCTAGTCTATAGTCTAGTCTATAGTCTAGTCTATAGTCTAGTCTATAGTCTAGTCTATAGTCTAGTCTATAGTCTAGTCTATAGTCTAGTCTATAGTCTAGTCTATAGTCTAGTCTATAGTCTAGTCTATAGTCTAGTCTATAGTCTATAGTCTAGTCTATAGTCTAGTCTATAGTCTAGTCTATAGTCTAGTCTATAGTCTAGTCTATAGTTAGTCTTAGTCTAGTCTATAGTCTAGTCTATAGTCTAGTCTATAGTCTAGTCTATAGTCTAGTCTATAGTCTAGTCTATAGTCCTAGTCTATAGTCTAGTCCTATAGTCTAGTCTATAGTCTAGTCATATGTCTAGTCTATGAGTCAGTCTATAGTCTAGTCTATAGTCTAGTCTATAGTCTAGTCTATAGTCTAGTCTATAGTCTAGTCTATAGTCTAGTGTCTAGTCTATAGTCTATAGTCTAGTTCTATAGTCTAGTCTATAGTCTAGTCTATAGTCTAGTCTATAGTCTAGTCTTAGTTAGTCTATGTCGTATAGTCTAGTCTATAGTCTAGTCTTAGTCTTTCATGAACACTCCTAATTTTTGAGTATTTTTGTACGAAAATATGAATATTAAAGTTTACCCCAGGCATAAACTAGCTCTACATATTTATATGTCTACCCAGCAAAAACTTGGTATGACTTTCAATTTTAGCCACTTATATACTAACCATTTTCAATACGTGCTAATTACATAGGAACAGTAAAATAAACATTAGTCATCTTTTCCATGATGTAAACATATTATCTCGTGCGATTTATATTAACTAACCTTTCTAATTACTTGTAAGCGTTAGTGTTGCCTCCAATGACATCACCTTATTAAAGTGATGACTTAAAACTCTATTGTGTAAGTAAATTTAATCACTTTAACCCCTTATTAGGGAATGAAAGTTTTTGTTGGATAAATATTTATATGTATTACATTTGTATACATTCATAGGAAAAGTAAGAGAGCAAATTTTCGTTTTAATCCTTAAATATTATATGTATGCATATAAAAAATGTAAAATAAATGTTTCTACAATTTATTTCAACTTCTTGTTTTTTTTTTTTCTCGAACGAACATTAAATATATGAAATAAAATTATTTTCATTTCTGCACCAACGCTTCTTTAAGTGGACGGGCGGGCATAATACTCATCCATATACATACACACATACATGCATACATAGTTACAATTTATTGGCTTTCAAAAATTAGGTCTCCTTGCAGAAATTTCCATTAAATTTTTTATTGCATACATACACTTGTATTAAAACCAGCATGAACACAAACAAACGAAAAAAGGAAAAACAAATTACCAGGAGCATTCAATTTTTGTGGAGTATAAATATAAAGTTGAAACGTAAAAATAAGTTGTAATAAAAATCAATGCTTTTTACTTGGGAGTGTTTAAAGGGCATTGAATGGGAAAAATTACTTAAATTATAAAATATTTATAAATATTTTATCTTTATGATGATATTGATTTATTTATTGAGTAAAGATGGACGGGCAAAATAGAACATCAGAGAGATTATTTGATGTTAAATGCAGTCAGGTTTGTGAAAGTCTATTAAGTATTATTTAAATTTCTTTGGAAAAAATAAGTTTTATAAAGGAATAAAATATATTTAACTTAAAGGAATAAACTACTTGAAAAATGGAAAATCTTGTCTTAATTTGGTTTGTGGGAAGTGTCTTGTTAAGGTTTTTTCTGTTTGTGTTTTAAAATAAAATTTATTTAATGTTTATTTAACCTATTTCGACAATTTTATAGAAAACTATAAATACAATTTAAATTAAAAATAAATCATAATTCACTGCTCCAGATTGTAGGAAAAATATACAAAATATCCAATAAATATAAAACATACATATTTATATGCCTTATAGAAAATTCAGCACAATAGACCATATTGAAAAACATACATCATTTCTATAATTAGCTCACGTTAGATCAAAGCTCAGCTGGGAAAATCGTGACAATTTAACCAGAGCTTGAATATTTTTCAAAATTTGTGGTATTTTCTCCTAAATTAACATAGTGGTCGTTTGAAAATTCCCACCGGGTTTTTAATCCAATGCATAAAATCTAAAATCAAATTATAAAGTATCAATTAAAAAAATAACAAAATTGCATTTTCGTGTCAATTTAACTAGAAACTAAAATCCTGTGGTACTTTATTGAATTTAAAAATAAAATCATTTTATAAATGCATTGAACTGTTGAATAATAAAAAATGTTTTAAAATAGTTAACAACAACAATTTTGTCATTTAAATAAATCTCTTTGCTTTCCAATAACATGTTCTCTTAAAAGTACATGATTAAAAAATGGATTTAGTTGTAGGTTTTTTTAATAAAGGCCTTAACATTGACTAAAAAGACTAGACTATATATAGACTAAACTATAGACTAACTAGACTATAGACTAGACTATAGACTAGACTATAGACTAGACTATAGACTAGACTATAGACTATAGACTAGACTATAGACTAGACTATAGACTAGACTAAAGACTAGACTATAGACTAGACTATAGACTAGACTATAGACTAGACTATAGACTAGACTATAGACTAGACTATAGACTAGACTATAGACTAGACTATAGACTAGACTATAGACTAGACTATAGACTAGACTATAGACTAGACTATAGACTAGACTATAGACTAGACTATAGACTAGACTATAGACTAGACTATAGACTAGACTAGACTAGACTATAGACTAGACTATAGACTAGACTAATAGACTAGACTATAGACTAGACTATAGACTAGACTATAGACTAGACTATAGACTAGACTATAGACTAGACTATAGACTAGACTATAGACTAGACTATAGACTAGACTATAGACTAGACTATAGACTAGACTATAGACTAGACTATAGACTAGACTATAGACTAGACTTAGATAGACTAGACTAGACTATAGACTAGACTATAGGACTAGACTATAGACTAGACTATAGACTAGGACTATAGACTAGACTATAGACTAGACTATAGACTAGACTATAGACTAGACTATAGACTAGACTATAGACTAGACTATAGACTAGACTATAGACTAGACTATAGACTAGACTATAGACTAGACTATAGACTAGACTATAGACTAGACTATAGACTAGACTATAGACTAGACTATAGACTAAGACTATAGACTAGACTATAGACTAGACTATAGACTAGACTATAGACTAGACTATAGACTAGACTATAGACTAGACTATAGACTAGACTATAGACTAGACTATAGACTAGACTATAGACTAGACTATAGACTAGACTATAGACTAGACTATAGACTAGACTATAGACTAGACTATAGACTAGACTATAGACTAGACTATAGACTAGACTATAGACTAGACTATAGACTAGACTATAGACTAGACTATAGACTAGACTATAGACTAGACTATAGACTAGACTATAGACTAGACTATAGACGACTATAGACTAGACTATAGACTAGACTATAGACTAGACTATAGGACTATAGACTAGACTATAGACTAGACTATAGACTAGACTATAGACTAGACTATAGACTAGACTAGACTAGACTATAGACTAGACTATAGACTAGACTATAGACTAGACTATAGACTAGACTATAGACTAGACTATAGACTAGACTATGAGACTATACTAGACTATAGACTAGACTATAGACTAGACTATAGACTAGACTATAGACTAGACTATAGACTAGACTATAGACTAGACTATAGACTAGACTATAGACTAGACTATGACTAGACTATGACTAGACTATGACTAGACTATGACTAGACTATGACTAGACTATGACTAGACTATGACTAGACTATGACTAGACTATGACTAGACTATGACTAGACTATGACTAGACTATGACTAGACTATGACTAGACTATGACTAGACTATAGACTATGACTAGACTATGACTAGACTATGACTAGACTATGACTAGACTATGACTAGACTATGACTAGACTATGACTAGACTATGACTAGACTATGACTAGACTATGACTAGACTATGACTAGACTATGACTAGACTATGACTAGACTATGACTAGACTATGACTAGACTATGACTAGACTATGACTAGACTATGACTAGACTATGACTAGACTATGACTAGACTATGACTAGACTATGACTAGACTATGACTAGACTATGACTAGACTATGACTAGACTATGACTAGACTATGACTAGACTATGACTATGACTAGACTATGACTAGACTATGACTAAACTATGGCTAGACTATGACTAGACTGGGTCTAGATTATAACTAGACTATAACTAGACTATAACTAGACTATAACTAGACTATAACTAGACTATAACTAGACTATAACTAGACTATAACTAGACTATGACTAGACTACGTCTGTGACTAGTTTAAAACCAAACAGAGACATGTGTTTCAACCCTTATAACAAACTCACCATACCCAGAAACATTAGCTTTACTGTAGCACACTTTAAACAAGTACTCAATTTAAATATGTATCAAATTTAAAATCTATTTTTACCCTTAACAAGAGATGAAGGGTTCAAATAAGCATAATCTAGAGAAAAAAATTCAAACACTTTCCCGTCAACATATGATGCAGGCAGACAGAAGTATAAATCTAAAAATACCTCCAACAAATTAATCGATAATTTACAAAAGAAAAAACACATACATATAAACAAACATAACACAAAATACATTTTAAAAGAAAAAACACAAATTGAACAACAATAAATTATTCTATAAACAAGAATTTATATGGAAAATAATATATAAAAGGAAAATATGTTATGTTTATTTCAAATGGCACAAAATATTTTTATTTGAAATCTGTATAAAACTTATGACATTTAACTAAAATAATTTTATTTTCTTTTTTCTTTACAGGTGAGTCTTTTATTAGAAATTATAGACATTTTAACACCTGTTTTCTGTGTAAGTAAAGTTTTATGCCTTGTAAATTATTTTGGGTTACAAAATATGATTATTTTATTTACAGGCACGTCTGCCAAATGGCTATAAATTTTCTGAAAATTTTTAAAATAAACTTGTAAAAGAGGCTACTAAGGGGGGAAAGCAAAAAAGTTTCTTAATATTTGAGTCAATTATTGATGTATTGAGTCTTAATTTTTAGTTTAAAGACAGTTTTGGTTTTATTAAATCATTTAAATAGAAAACAAGATTCATTAGCAATTTGCTAAGTTTAAGAGACAAGTTTTTAACTTAAGTATTTGCTTTTAACTAAGTTACCGTTTTATGTGTGAAATGGTAAAAAAAACTATTGTTTTAACTTGCACTATATTCTTTTATTTAAATTTAACTTAGAAAACTTTATTTTAGAAAAATACGTAAAAAACAACAGGGGAAAACTTACAAGTTTATTCCTGCTGCAGTTCTTTTAAATAAAATAAAAAGTTTTCATTTCAAACAATGACTTTAACAAAGAAAACTTAAACTTATTAGTTGTTATTGCTGTAAAACACAAAAAAAAATACAATAAAAACTACACTAAGAAAAAAAATATGATTTAAGACAATATGTTTTGGAGCAACTAAAATACGAGGACAGAGTAATATTTACTATAGATGAGTATCCATCCATTTATATGTATATTTTCTCTATGTGTAATATACTAAAGAATTAAAGTATTAACAGTGAGTGGTTGCTGGTGTTGAGCAAAAAAGCCATAAAATCTAAATTTACTTAAAACTACAAAAACTTTGCATACTTTAAGGATAACCACTGAGAGTTGGCGTTAACTAAAACGTTAAGACACTAGTAGCAAAAAGCCATAAAACAAATATAAAGTAAGAAAATGAAATAAACTAACTTTCAATAAATTTCCACTTAGTATATACATACATATAAAACGATGATGTTATTTGTAAAAAAAAAAAAACAAGAAAATAATTTCTCATAAAAAATCAATTTAAAAGCCATAATAAACTGATTTAAATGGTAATGTTTAAAGCCGATAATTGACAAACTTAAGATTGATAGCAGAGGTCTTTCCAATAAGGTTATTTTTAAAGACAAAGGACCATGTCATTTGTTTCTTAAAAAAAATACATATTTAAATTAAATTATTTATTTATTAGAAGCCAAACAAACACTTTATTAAATTAATTCAATTTCTTGCTTCTACTTGTCATTTATCCTTTAAGGTTTTCACTTCAATTTCATTATATAGTTTATTGTATTTACTTTTCATTAAATCGAACATTTTTGTAGTCTCATCGATTATTTTATAAAACACTAATTTTGCATGTCAATCATCATTTAGTTTCTTATGTGTTTCTTTTTTGTTAAATACGTTTGAACGAAATTGCCTGAATAAAAGTTCTGGACAAACATGATATGAATTTCTATACCATTTGGCTAACGCCAAAGAAAAAAATTGATAATATTTTATTTGAACTTTTGCTAAGACATATTTGAGGTAATGATTAAGTTCTAGATAAATTTTTGTAAATATTTATTCTGACTTTTAAAATTAGGTTAAAATATTTTACAAAAGTTGAGTTGAAAGTTAAGAAATTTATTAGTACAGAGTAATTAGTCTTTTATCAGATAGATAACTGATCTATAGATAAGACTATAGACTGGTCTATAGGCAAGATTATAAGCTAAGTCGGTAGTCAAGAATACACATTGATCTATAGACAAGACTATAGATTGATCTAGAGTCAAGAATATAGACTGATCTGTAGTCAAGACTGTAGACAGATCTGTAGTCAATACTTTAGACAAATATGTAGTCAACACTGTAGACTGCTCTTTATTCCGAACTATGGATCACTCTATAGACTGATCTATAGTCGAGACTATAGACTGATCTATATTCAGGACTATAGACTGAACTATAGTCGAAACTATAGACTGATCTATAGTCAAGACTATAGACTGATCTATAGTCAAAACTATAGACTGATCTGTAATCAAGAGTATAGACTGATCTATAGTCAAGACTATATACTGATCTATAACCGAAACTACAGAATGGTACATATTCAAGACTAAGGACTAATCTATAGTCAAGACTGTAGAATGATCCATAGTCTAGACTATGGACTGATCTATAGTTAAGACCATAGACAGATCTATAGTAAGGACTATAGACTTATCTATAGTCAAGACTATAGATTTATCTATAGTCAAGACTATAGACTGATCTATACTCAAGACTATAGACTGCACTATAGTCAAGACCATAGACTGATCTATAGTCGAGACTATTGACTGATCTATAGTCAAGACTATTGACTGATCTATAGTCAAGACTATTGACTGATCTATAGTCGAGACTATAGACTGAACTATAGTCAAGACTATGGACTGATCTATAGTCAAGACTATAGACTAATCTATAGTCAGGAGTATAGACTAATCTACAGTTAAGACAATAGACTGATCTTAAGTCAAGACTATAGATTGAACTATAGTCAAGACTATAAATTGAGTCAAAGCTGATCTGTAGTCATGACTATAGACTGATCTATATATATAAATAGACTGGTCTATAATCAAGATTATAGACTTTTTTGTTGTCAAGACTATGTTTTATTTCACAAAAAGTACAAAATCTTAGTTATAATTTAAACATGCTACTGTCAGCAAAAAACTAATACAACTTTATTAAGAAACTGACCAATTTGAAAACAGGAAACGGATATGGAATTATAAAAAGAAAATGCCATAAATAAAACTTCGTCAATGTTTTAATAAAATGAACACAAAAACGGATACAAAAAACTATTTTTAAAGCTATAAAAAGGAAAAAAAATAATAGCAATAAAAAAGAAAATCATTAAATTGCTTTAATATTTAACACACTAACAGCATACTTTTAGGCCTGCATAAAGTCAAAACAATAAAGCAATAAAAAACTCTCTTTTGAATAGGCAAATGTCAAAAGTTGTTAATAATTATTTAATGGTTTAGCAAGAATCATTTGCAATATTAATCATACACACTGTTTAATCAAATAACAAGCTGAAAGCACTTGTAAGGATGCAGCAGACGTATTATTAATATTTATTTATATTACGTATACGCATAATAAACGACTTGGGTATTAAGTATTAAGTGCGCACAGTGGTATAGGAAAAAAAAAAGAGGGAAATAATTCGGTAACTTCTAAACGGTTAATCCGATTTTAATGAAATTTGGTATGCACAAAGAGGAGGTGTTGTCGAGTTTAGGTTTTGAATTTGGACCTTATAGGCCAACCAGGGGCCCGGCGGGGGGTCCTCAAATTAGGACACCTCGGCTATGTTAAATTTTTAAAACGATCCTATTTCTTCATTTGAGTTCCGATTTAAAAAAAATTTCATATATAGAATCTCCTCATCGAGCACTATAAAAAATGTCGTCGTAGCAGTAAATTATCTCTTATAGTTTAGGAGATATTCGCATTTGAATATTAAAATTTTAAAATTTTTACCGTCCTTACTTTAGTTTTTTTGATAATAGCAGGTCCAAATATTTCCGATTTTCGCCATTTTTTTTTATTTGCTTAACAACAAGTTTATATACCAAGCAGTGAAAGAATTATGTAAAATCATGACTGAGTCCAAAGTTATAGGCATTTAAATTTAAAAAATTAAAAAAAGGCGATTTTTTGTCATTTTTTGGGAAAAAAGTATCTTTTTCTTTTTAAGTTATCTAAAAAGTTTCTAAGAAGATGTATATAGAATTTATACTTTTTGGAAAGCTGACTTTACATAAATACGATAAATGAAACAAAACCTAAAAATTTTTGATACCGAGGGGACCAGGTCCATCCAAAAAAACCCTATTTTTTATGGAAAATTAAATTTTGAGCAAAAATTCTCAAATCGCATAGTCGATATCAAATTATAGTGACCTGTTTTATATGACCCAATAAGTTCTTAATCATTTTGTAACGGGTTTCGATAACCCCGCCCCTGGTATGGATATAATAGGCAAAAAACCAAAAAATCCCATTTTTGGGATTTTTTAAAACTTTTTTGGGAATTCCGGGATTTCTAATAAGAAAATTCGAAATTTTTATTTAATTTTGGATTTTGAGTAAAAAAATCTACCTAACTGTAAAATTTCATCAAAAAATATTCATAAATAAAATTTTTATTGCAATTTGAAAAATTTGTATCTTCGCAAAAACTGAATAAAAACATTTTTTAATTTTTTTTTAAAAAAAGTATTCCGCGAATTTTTTAATTTTCAAAAATTATATACAGTTTTGAAAAATAGACAAAATTACCTTTCCATTGATATATAACATGCCTACCTAATGTTTTTTAAGTGACAAATTAATTAGGGAAAACTCAACATCTTTTAGAAAATTTGCCTAGCACTATTATTTTCATCCATAAGGTTAACATCTTAAATTGTTACATATATGGATGAAAATAATAGTGCTAGGTAAATTTTCTAAAAGATGTTGAGTTTTCCCTAATTAATTTGTCACTTAAAAAACATTAGGTAGGCATGTTATATATCAATGGAAAGGTAATTTTGTCTATTTTTCAAAACTGTATATAATTTTTGAAAATTAAAAAATTCGCGGAATACTTTTTTTAAAAAAAATTAAAAAATGTTTTTATTCAGTTTTTGCGAAGATACAAATTTTTCAAATTGCAATAAAATTTTATTTATGAATATTTTTTTGATGAAATTTTACAGTTAGGTAGATTTTTTTACTCAAAATCCAAAATTAAATAAAAATTTCGAATTTTCTTATTAGAAATCCCGGAATTCCCAAAAAGTTTTAAAAAATCCCAAAAATGGGATTTTTTGGTTTTTTGCCTATTATATCCATACCAGGGGCGGGGTTATCGAAACCCGTTACAAAATGATTAAGAACTTATTGGGTCATATAAAACAGGTCACTATAATTTGATATCGACTATGCGATTTGAGAATTTTTGCTCAAAATTTAATTTTCCATAAAAAATAGGGTTTTTTTGGATGGACCTGGTCCCCTCGGTATCAAAAATTTTTAGGTTTTGTTTCATTTATCGTATTTTATGTAAAGTCAGCTTTCCAAAAAGTATAAATTCTATATACATCTTCTTAGAAACTTTTTAGATAACTTAAAAGAAAAAGATACTTTTTTCCCAAAAAAATGACAAAAAATCGCCTTTTTTTAATTTTTTAAATTTAAATGCCTATAACTTTGGACTCAGTCATGATTTTTACATAATTCTTTCACTGCTTGGTATATAAACTTGTTGTTAAGCAAATAAAAAAAAATGGCGAAAATCGGAATATTTGGACCTGCTATTATCAAAAAAACTAAAGTAAGGACGGTAAAATTTTAAAATTTTAATATTCAAATGCGAATATCTCCTAAACTATAAGAGATAATTTACTGCTACGGACGACATTTTTTA